CCCCCCCCTCATGTTTATGCTACAATATTTCATCAATCTTTTCCTAAGTTTGATTTTTAAGTTATCTTCTAATCCTATTTAGGAGCATAAACACTAATCATATTTATTATACTTTTTTTGATAATTAACTTTTCAAGAATTACCATATCATCAATATAGGTTCATCTCAAAGTTTCATCTTTCAGTTCTCTATCTAGTACTGTTCCATCTTTATTTCTCCTGTTAACATTATCAACATGAAGCAAGCTGTAGCTTTTCTGAATATCCTTGGATCTTATTTTTCTCATTTCATTTAGAATCTTGCAGACAAGTAATATATATTCTTCTTATAATCATTCTGTCCACGAATTCTCTTACTTTTTACTTCAACCTTCAATTTTTTTTAGCAAATCTAATATCAGTTTTAGACCTAGCTTCCCCCTTTTTGAGGACGTGCTTGCCAATTTTTTGACTGCTTACCAAAATTGGGTCAGGTTTCGGCACTTCACTTTTGTGTAAATGCCCTAGCACTAGCAAAATTCTACTGTGAAATTATTTAATAGTTTTGATATAAGTTTTACAATCAGTAGTTAACCTTTTACGAACTTTCTTCATCGGTGATTGCGACTGGCAATGCCTATTTATACCATTGATAGTAAAAGTTCTAATAATACTAAGGATAGATTACTCATCTACATTTTATTTAATTTTAATTATATTAAAATTAATTTAAAACTATTGCTGAATTTAGAATTGAAATTTTAGAAGCTACCAAGTAACTGGCAGTACATCAGTTCAAAACTGATACTGAAGCCAATTTCTCAAACCTTGCCTACAAGCTGAAAGTTTCTGTTGTTGTAAGATGATTTTCTACTAAATGCTTTGAAATGTAATCCAATTTCATTTAAAGAAAGCTTTTACTTGATAAATAAAGTATTTTTTGTTCTTAATTCTTAGTGCAATCGACATTTTTTTTCGGTGTTGTTTGGACCGTTATCTTGACTTTGATAATAGTTAAATGCTAGATTTTAAGATCTAGGAATCTCCAATGATTCCATTTGAATTCATGATCAATAAGGTTGTTTTCTTCGAAATATCTTCTTATCTCTTACTAAAGTACAAATTTCTTAGCGTCATTCCTCAAAAACGAACATGAAAATCTATGATGATTTTTTCATATGTTTGCAAAAAGACTTATAATTAATAATTTAATTACTATGCGACAATTCAGATGAGCAAATTTCAAGTTTTGATAGATGTTCATGTCATCTTCATTTTATCATTTGAATTTTCTTTTCTTATAAATCTTGTTAATTGCTAATGGTGCATAACATTTTTTAATAATAAAATTGTGTTAAAACATAGATGAAATTTAAAAGTTTAATTTAACTAATTAACATTAAAAAAATTCATAAATCAACGTTGTTACCATTTAGAATGATGACAACGCTTATCGTCGCCATTCAAGGTGACGATAAGTTATTATTTATTTCTAACGGTTATATGTTTGTCGGGGAAAGTAGGTTGCTGTTGATATATATATAGAGTGGGGCTCATGGATGGGAGACATGTTTTGATTCAGTTAATCGTGCCTGAAGATCACTCGTACTTTCTCCAAAAAATATCTTAACATTTGCTGGTAAACTAATGAAACTACTCAATTGGTCTCCTGATTTTGACCCCAATCATGAACCTCCTACTGTATCGGTGTGATTTAGTCTACCTGGTCTCAAGTTGCTTTTTTTTCATCATCAGGTTCTCTACTCTATTGGTGTCATACTTGGGGACCCTATGAAGCTAGATCTACCCACTTTCAATCTTACCAGAACTTCTGTGGCCAGAATACTTGTGGAAAGAGATATTACTTTGTCTGATGTTACTGAAGTCTGATTAGACACAATGCATAAGTATATACTTTCTTATTGTTCTCATTGTAAGATGTTTGGGCATACTCTTGATAAATGTCATAAGCTTCATCCTAATTTGAAATCTAAAGATCAAGTGAATGAGGATGGTTCTAAGGATATATTTGTACCACTTGGAGAGAAAACTATCACAGGATAGATTTTGGTGTCTGATTCTATTGCCCCTGTCGTTACCGTTACTGCGAGTGACGTGATGCTGATACCTTCAAACCCCATAGAAAACAATACTGATGGACTATTATCTATATATATATGCCGCAAGCACTGCTAACGTGTCGATAGAGGATCACGACATCTTCTGTTTCGAGCGTCAAACTCGTCGAGCTGCAACGGCCAGTTCTGCGGCTCGTCGTTCTGCGTTAGTTTTCGACGCTTCTTGTTCGTGTCTGCGCCAGTGCTTCTCCGGCCCGATCTTCTGTTTTGCTTCTGGGCTTTTCTCTCCATCCTGATGCAATTCTCTCGCTGCAGGTGACAACTGTTTGTTCTGATGGTACTTCATTCTTTTTTTGCTTCTTTTACTGAACCGGCAAAGGCTTCTTTTGCCCACGTGGTGGGAAACCCTCAGGTGGAGTTCGTGGTGGTATTTCCCTCAAACTATAAAGAATGTCATGATGGCACAAATGATTGTTCTTTTGTTAAGAAGGAAGTAGGAAAGTGGTGAAAACAACAATTTTTTTCTCTGACTTAGAAATTTTTACCATGACAGAAAAATTCAAGTTTGCTCTCATTGAAAAATTTCAGTGGAGACATCTACCTATGAAGATTATTAGAAAGAGTAGATGATCATAAGCCCGTAGGCAAGTGGAAGGTGAAACCTATGAATGAGAGACATGTGTTGATTAAACTAACAATGGATGAAGACTACACTAGAATTTTCTCCAAAAAATATCTTAATATCGTAGGAAAAGCTATGAAGTTACTCAAGTGGTCTCCTGATTTCGACCCAAATCATGAAGCTCTCACTGTACCGATATGTTTTAGTTTACCTGGTCTCAAGCTGCATTTTTTTCACCATCAGGTTATCTACTCTATTGGGGCCACTCTAGGAGATCCTTTGAAGCTAGATCATTCTAGTTTTAACCTAACTAGACCCTCGGTGGCCAAAATATTTGTGGAAAGGGATATTACTTTACTGGATGTTACTGAAGTCTGGCTAGGCACAACCCACAATGGATATTGGCAACAAATCGTCTTGGAACACAGACCCTCATATTGTACCCACTGTAAGATATTTGGTCATATCCTTGATAAATGCTACAAGCTCCATCCTAATTTGAAAACTAAGGTTCAAGTGAATAAGGATGGGTCTAACCCCACTGTTCTGGACATTTTAGTTCCACCTGAGGAGGATACTACCAGACAGGTGGTGTCTGTTGCCCCTGAAGACCCCCCTCATGACACTGCTGTTATTGAGAGGGATGTGATGTTGGCACCTTCAAACCCCATAGAAAATAATACTGATCGACTATTACCTACAAATGAAAGTGTTTAAACTCAACAACTTGTTAGTTGGTTATGTTCCTAAAACTAAAGGTAGAGGCAAGACTAAATGGGTCGTTCCCGAGCTCTTGATTCCGCGATTTGACAATTTCGGTTTTTTGGGTTTACATGTACCTTTTCTTTTTTGGGACCTTTGTGTGTGCCCTACCTTATGGGTAGGGTGGCTGGGGCTATTATACGTGCCTCGGCCATCCCCGATACGTCTAACAATTTAAGTACCATACCCTCCACCGGGGAGAATCGAACTTCAGACTAGAGGAGACTTACAACTGACAAGCAGATGACCGACCAACTGATTTGAGTACGTGGTTCTTCTTTTCTTTTCTGTCTGCATGAAGAAATATTCCTACTTGATAGAGCAATTTATTGAATCAAATAACGTTGTGCAGTACGCTCTTTCCTGTTGC